CCACCCCCTCACCAACTTGAAGAATGAGTGGCATTCACTGAAGTTGTGTGCCCAGGGATGAATTTGCCCACCTGAAGGGGATAGCTAAATTTATGGGAAGAATGGCAACTTTTTAAATAGTTCCAAGCATCCATTCCACTGTGAGAAGCTTACAGGCAAGTAGGAAATATTTTTTTCTTTTGAACCTGAGCCAAACCTTCACTTAAAATATTTATAAAATTTGTGAATCTGGAGGAAACCCATTATGGTCACCTTCACCGCATTAAAATTCCAAAATTTTCTCAGTGTGTTCCATGTGGTTTGAGAACAACATGATGTATAGAATTCCAGCAGTAGGAAAAGACAAAATCAGAAGTAAAAAAGTCTGGGTTCTAGGTTTAACTCAGATCCTAACCAGAGGGTGGTCTCAGATTGGTCCCATGGTGTCCCTGGTTCTTGGTTTCTTCTTTTGTAAATGATGAATTCAGTTTATATGTGTAATGTGGTCCCAGCTCAGCTCTCCATCAGAAATACAATTCACTGGGCCATTGGAACTATTCATGAGGGCTCAGCAAGTCTCAGCTGATTGAGTCTTTCAATATTGTTATGCCAAATCCTTTTGGAGTTTCTATTCCTGGCTAGAATTAACCTGTTCTGTACTATTCTCTTCTTTACCTAAATATGTTATATAGAGAATAGATTAACTATGTAAGGAAGTCTAGTTAATTTTATTTGGGGAGCTTTTAGACTTTGAGATTTTTCTTGTTATAACTGAAAGGCATCTAAAAATTTGGGAATTCCTGATCAAGCTTCATTCATTGAATAAAACTTTCTTGGTCTTCTTTAGTCTCAAGAACCCTCTGGTCAAGGATTCTGTTGCTTGTTTGGTGCTGAGCTGGGCCACTCTACTGCTTCTTTCTGATTTGGAGAACAAAGTCTGCCAGGATTACCTGCTATGTCCCACCATTAATATAGTAAAGAAAAAAAATCTTGTGTATTAGGAAATGTGAGGAATGTGGGTTCTCATATATGTTCATCTATCCACCATTTATTGAGTGCCTATTATCTACCAGCTGCTGTGAGAGGAACACATTTACTGACACAAACTTAAATAAATAGCTCTGGCAGATGAGGGCTCTTTTTAAAGCACAGGAAACATAACTGGAAACTAATCTCTTTAAGTCTGATTAGAGAAAATATAATTCCATTCATTGCTCCTAATTTTCCTGTTTCTTGTAACCTTTTGTACTTGTATATATTTTTTACATTGAAATATAATTCATATAACATAGGAGTCAACTGTTTCAAATTGTGCACTTCGGTGGTTTTTAGTATAGTCATTATGTTGTATAATTATCAAAACTATCTAATTCCAGAATATTTTCATCACCCTAAAAGGAAACCCCATACACACTAGCAGTTTTGAACCCCACCCCTTCACCCCTTCTCAACCACCAATCTATTTTTGTCCTTATGGATTAGTCTATTCTGGACATTTCATATTATGAAATAATACTATGTGTGGTCTGTTGTGTCTGGCTTTTTTCACTTAGCATAATGTTTTCAAGGTTCATCCATATTGTAGCATATAACAGCACTTCAGTTTTCATTGCTAAATGACATTTCATTATATGTTATATGGATATACCGTATTACCTTCATCCATTAACCATCTGATGGACTTTTGGGTCATTTATACTTTTTGGTTATTATGAATAATGTTGATATGAACATTTGTTTATAACTTGTTGTATGAATGAATATTTTCACTTCTCTTGGGTATATATCTAGGAGTGGAACTATTGGGTTATATGGTAATTCTATTTTTTAACTTTGCAAGAACCTACCAAGCTGTTTTTCCAAAGTGGCTGTACCATTTTACATTTCCATCAGTAATATACTTTTTTTTTTTTTTGGTTGTCTTTAATAGAAAATATTTGAAACCACCCCAGGAGTTAGGTTAGTAGTTTTCTTCCCAGTTTATTGGTGAGGGCACTACAGCAATAAACTGAAAAATGCCTTCCCGGGGCCCAGGTTTCTTCATTTATTCAGCATTCACTGATTCCCTGTTCTGTTCCCGGCATTGTTCCCAGTTCTGTGGATGCAGAGATGAGTAAAATATGCTGTCTGTGAAGTGTTGAATCGAGTCTGTGAAACTTCTGTTGAAATCTTTAAAATGGTAAAAGCTTCCATTCATGTGACTTGGTTTAGATGGAATCTGCCCAGAGTCTTAAGGATGGACCTAAACAAATATCCCTTGATATTGGATGATTTTTGGATGATGTTCCTAGTATCCATGGTAAGCTATCAATTCATGTTTTCTATTCTTAGTGGAGAAAATGTGTTAGCGTCTGGCATTTGCTGTTTCTCTGAAATGAACAATTTTATAGTGGAATCATCTAATCCTGGGAATTTGGGAATAAGTATATAACTTACATTGAAAAAGAGTAACAATGCTGAACATGTGTATAGTTTTTCACCATTTCCAGAGCTGTTTTGTGTCTTCTTTGACCGCAGTCCTGTGAAGTAGGCCAGGCAAACACACGTTATTTCCATTTCATGGATGGTCACTGAACCTCAGGGAAGCAGACTACTTTGCCCTGGGTCACACGAATGAGCCAGAAGAAGACCCTTCACTAGAGCAGTCATTCCCAAATACTATTTCCTGGACTGGTGCCAGGAAGGGATAGAGTTCACTGATTCATGAGGAAGTGAGAAAATTAAGGCAAAGTCGTGAGGTTTTCACATCACTAAATTTATTTGATTTTAAGAACTGTCTTTTAGTCTAAAATTAAGTATTGGCTTACAGAAAAACCCAAATGAACCTTTTGGCCAACCCAATACCTCTTATTTCTATATTAGTTTGTAAAATGTCTGCTTTCTTTATTGAATGTGGTGATGTTAGATAGCAACATTTCTGTAATTTTCATTTGAAAAAAAACAAATGTTGGTAACTTTCATTAACAAAACTTTTTTTTTTTTAAACTGTTTCATGAAATCACCATAGCAGAGTCAGGCCTGGTCCAGTGATTCCTGATTAATCACTTTATTACTTTCTCCTGGGCACCTTCTAGTTAAACTCGAAAATATGTCCTTTTAGAGATGTAGCCATTTTTCCTATGTACCTATGTCACATGCAACTTTAGTAACTAGTCTCCTGGTTTTCAGCTAAATCCTCGTAGGCAATTATATATCAGAGATTCAAAGGCTGGTGGAACACCCATGCAGGCAGAATGACCTACTCAGTCTTCTGTTTTTGATTGTAGGTAAGTATGTATTGTTGTTCAGTTTGTTAATTATTCTTGCATTTTTTTTTTTTTATGGATTAGTCTATTCTGGACATTTCATATTATGAAATAATACTATGTGTGGTCTGTTGTGTCTGGCTTTTTTCACTTAGCATAATGTTTTCAAGGTTCATCCATATTGTAGCATATAACAGCACTTCAGTTTTCATTGCTAAATGACATTTCATTATATGTTATATGGATATACCGTATTACCTTCATCCATTAACCATCTGATGGACTTTTGGGTCATTTATACTTTTTGGTTATTATGAATAATGTTGATATGAACATTTGTTTATAACTTGTTGTATGAATGAATATTTTCACTTCTCTTGGGTATATATCTAGGAGTGGAACTATTGGGTTATATGGTAATTCTATTTTTTAACTTTGCAAGAACCTACCAAGCTGTTTTTCCAAAGTGGCTGTACCATTTTACATTTCCATCAGTAATATACCTTTTTTTTTTTTTGGTTGTCTTTAATAGAAAATATTTGAAACCACCCCAGGAGTTAGGTTAGTAGTTTTCTTCCCAGTTTATTGGTGAGGGCACTACAGCAATAAACTGAAAAATGCCTTCCCGGGGCCCAGGTTTCTTCATTTATTCAGCATTCACTGATTCCCTGTTCTGTTCCCGGCATTGTTCCCAGTTCTGTGGATGCAGAGATGAGTAAAATATGCTGTCTGTGAAGTGTTGAATCGAGTCTGTGAAACTTCTGTTGAAATCTTTAAAATGGTAAAAGCTTCCATTCATGTGACTTGGTTTAGATGGAATCTGCCCAGAGTCTTAAGGATGGACCTAAACAAATATCCCTTGATATTGGATGATTTTTGGATGATGTTCCTAGTATCCATGGTAAGCTATCAATTCATGTTTTCTATTCTTAGTGGAGAAAATGTGTTAGCGTCTGGCATTTGCTGTTTCTCTGAAATGAACAATTTTATAGTGGAATCATCTAATCCTGGGAATTTGGGAATAAGTATATAACTTACATTGAAAAAGAGTAACAATGCTGAACATGTGTATAGTTTTTCACCATTTCCAGAGCTGTTTTGTGTCTTCTTTGACCGCAGTCCTGTGAAGTAGGCCAGGCAAACACACGTTATTTCCATTTCATGGATGGTCACTGAACCTCAGGGAAGCAGATTACTTTGCCCTGGGTCACACGAATGAGCCAGAAGAAGACCCTTCACTAGAGCAGTCATTCCCAAATACTATTTCCTGGACTGGTGCCAGGAAGGGATAGAGTTCACTGATTCATGAGGAAGTGAGAAAATTAAGGCAAAGTCGTGAGGTTTTCACATCACTAAATTTATTTGATTTTAAGAACTGTCTTTTAGTCTAAAATTAAGTATTGGCTTACAGAAAAACCCAAATGAACCTTTTGGCCAACCCAATACCTCTTATTTCTATATTAGTTTGTAAAATGTCTGCTTTCTTTATTGAATGTGGTGATGTTAGATAGCAACATTTCTGTAATTTTCATTTGAAAAAAAACAAATGTTGGTAACTTTCATTAACAAAACTTTTTTTTTTTTTAAACTGTTTCATGAAATCGCCATAGCAGAGTCAGGCCTGGTCCAGTGATTCCTGATTAATCACTTTATTACTTTCTCCTGGGCACCTTCTAGTTAAACTTGAAAATATGTCCTTTTAGAGATGTAGCCATTTTTCCTATGTACCTATGTCACATGCAACTTTAGTAACTAGTCTCCTGGTTTTCAGCTAAATCCTCGTAGGCAATTATATATCAGAGATTCAAAGGCTGGTGGAACACCCATGCAGGCAGAATGACCTACTCAGTCTTCTGTTTTTGATTGTAGGTAAGTATGTATTGTTGTTCAGTTTGTTAATTATTCTTGCATTTTTTTTTTTCTTTTTGGCAGTGGGGAGAGGAAGTTGGACAAGACATTTTTAGCAAAATGCAACTGACTGTATTTGAAAAGATGTAGCATTTATTCATTTGATGAATGGTTCTCCATCTGGTAGAAAGCAAGACAACCCGAACAGTATGTGTGACTTGCCTACATCACATACCAATGAGAGGAACTAGAAGTGGAAAGCCTTCTATTTCTAAATATTACTCATATACTTCAAAATGTAATCGTGGGAACAACATGCAAATTACCAATGGAAAAAAAATCCTCTTGACTCTTTAAAACACTGAGCAAAAGGATGTAGCAGGATTAAATCATCCTCAAGTCCCCTTGCTTGTCGCACTGGGTTTGTGGGAGGGGAGGGATTTCTGAGTACCAGATACCCCCTCTCCTAAAGCAGCCTTCCCCAAGTCCAGAAGACTTGCTCCAGCATTAGGGTTACTACACTCAAATACACCTGGAGAAAGAGTACTATGCAAAGTAACTCCTGGTTCTGTACGGTGGAACTTTGGATTTATAAATATCCAAGAGTGGCAGAGCTTCCACACTCCTCAAACTTTTGGATTAGGACCTACTTCTTCCTCTTGTTGCCCTTCAAGGGTAGTGTTTATGTGTGTTATAACTTCCTTCTCATTCAATTCTCATAACAACTTTATAGGTAAGGGATAGTCTCATTCCCATTCTACAGATCAAGAGCCCAAGGCACAGAGAGGTTAAGAAACTTGCCCAAGGTCACACAGTGGCAAGGTCTGTATTTGAACCTGGCAATTTAGCATCAGAGGTAGTCTGTGAATTCCTGTGTGGTGCTGCTTTCTATGGCTAAGTGGCATTTTTTTGCTTTTACCTAAATACAGCATGTTTTCTTACATGAATAGTCAGTAATCTAAACTAGAAAATAGATTGAAAGTTTTCAGGGCACTTGACTGGCTGGTGAGTCCAATGCAAACATAATAGAAAGACCAGTGACTCTGAGGTTATGCAGTTGAATTGTTTTTTTTTTTCCAAACTTTAAACTTTTTATTTTGTGTTGGGGTATAGCTGATAAAAAATGTTGTGGTAGTTTCAGGTGAATAGCAAAGGGACTCAGCCATGCATGTATATGTATCCTTTCTCCCCCCAAACCCTCTCTCATTCAGGCTGGCACATAACATTTGGAACTCACCTATTTTTTGCAGCCATTTTCTAACCATATTAACTTATCTAGTGGGTTAATTTTAAAAGCCTCAACTTTCTCCTTTGTATACTAGCGATAATAATTCAATGACATGTCCCATGAAGAAGTCAGGGTAGGATGAAGGATGTAGGTAGAGTTTCAGGAAGATGATGGCATGCAGCACATTCTACACGGAACACAAGTGTATACCTATTTCCCCCTCACCCTCACTCCTTCCCACTGCCTTTTCTTTCTTCCCTTTCTGCCACTCAAATGCGTAGGCAAGCTTGGTTAGTCCTCCATTGAAATGAATGGTCCCACATCACCTGCAGCTTTATATGAAGGAAGGCCAGGGTAAATCCCATGAGAAGCTGTATAATATAGATGAAAGAACTCAGAAAGGAAACAAGTGTCAAGTGTAACATTCTCTGAGGAGACCAGAAATACCATCAAGGTGAGAAAGTGGGTCTACAGAACACTGAACTGTCCCCAGTAAGGGTTCATACCAAAAGGAAGTGAAAAATTGAGATTAAAAGACAGACCTTAGAAGCTAGTCCCATCTCCCACATGCCCTTGAATGAAGAAGTAGAAGTGTGGGCTGGCAAGATCGCTCCTGTGTGATGTGATCCCACCAAAAGCCTCAAGAATCTGCCCATTCACCCTGGGGCCTTCTTCAGATAACCTTAGAAATTTACCAAATTCAAGGAGATGCCCTTCATTCTCTAGTTTTGTTTTAAAAATGTGAATATGGATTATAATTCTTCCCATTCCTAAAATATGTATCATCATATGGAAGGATGGTCTCATAAACTCAGAAGCTGTATTTTCTTACCTCTCCTGGGCAAAAATAAATTTGTTTAGTAGTAACTAAATAATAGCAGAGGTGATACTTTGGAGAATCTAGTAATTAAAAGAATCTTTTAATGCTCTATTTCAAAGGATAAAGCAACAATATTAAGGATAATTTTGAAAATAGGATTTAAAAAACCAACCAGGATTCTGCCAACTTAAATGTCTCTTTTCATTTCTGTATACTAGAAAATTTATTTCATATATTTATTTTGTGTATTAGATTTTAGTCTTTTCATATATAGACATTTTGCATGATTTCAACCATAGGCTATATGCCATTAGGTATAACATAGGTTTAGAAATCTGCATCTATATTCTATACAATTGTCATTTGAATGGCTTAAGTGGGAAAGGTAGTATATGTTCCTCTTCAGAATGGGAAGAGAGTGACTCCCAGGCACAATTATGATGATGTGACAACATTTGGTGATTGATACTAGTTTTGCCCAATTATAGACAATGCTGTCTAGCACCAAAGAATGGTTATGGCTGCTAGAAACAGAGACCCAACTATAGTATTTTAAACACATGACAAGAAAAAAAAAAAAAGCCAATGGAAGGCTGTTTAGTTCTGGTGTTTGCAAGATGTCAGTGGCCAAGGCTATTTCTGTTTTTCTGCTTTGCCATTTTTTCTGCATGGCTTTTAAGTTCAAAGTTACAATATGACTGCTTGAATTATAGCTTTCATGTCTGAATTCCAGGGCAAGAAGCAGGAAGAAGAGAAAGACAAGATGTCCCTTTGCCACCTTCATCGTCCACTTCTTTTTAAAGAGTTTCCCCAAAGTTCCCTGTCAAAGCACCTCATGAAATCACACAAACTCTTGGAGGTTTTGTTTCTTCACTGATAAACCAACAGCAATAATTTTTACCTCTCAAACATACGTGCGTGTTTGCTCAGTTGTGTCAGACTCTTTGTGAGTCTTTGGACCGTAGCCCTCCAGGCTCCTCTGTCCATAGGATTTTCCAGGCAAGAATACTGGAGTGGATTGCCATTTTCTCCTCCAGGGGATCTTTCTGCCCCAGGGATCAAATCCATGTCTCCTGTGGCTCCTGGATTGCAGGCAGATTCTTTACCCATTGAGTGACTGGGGCTGGCTACCTACCTTGCTAGGTGTATGTGAAAGAATACTGCAAATTCAAAAATGCTGTGTAAATGCAAGGACTAAATTAAAACAGTACTTGTGGTCCAATGCAGATTGCAATAGCTGCAATTGTTCATATTTCTGTGTTCTTGTTGCAGAAGAGCAATTATTTATAATTATTTCAATTATTGTTACATTGCAATTATTTATAATCACTCCCTTTCCCCATCCTGAAGTGTTTTTGAGACAGAGAGAAAGCAGAACTGGACTGTGTTTGGTTCATGTCAGTGGGAAGTCTGAGGACTATGAGACTCCAGACAGTGGTAGAAGTGATCAGACTCCAAAGCTGCTTCCTTATGCCTCCATGTCTTTGTCATCTGGGAGATGGAATAGAAGGTTGGAAAAACCTTAAACTCAGAGGCTGAAAAAGTCCTAATGTAGTTCCTTGAGAACCAGCAGATCTCCAGGCCAAGTCTGCTGTGTGTGGCCCTGATCTTTGTGATTAAAATGGTAAGCTCCCTGAGGGCAGGAATTCTATCTCTATGTTCCTTTGTATTCCAATTCCTGGAAACTAGAAGGACCTGGGTAAAAATCTATTTATTAATTCTAGCCCCACCTTGAAGACAGAGTCATTCTTACGTGTGATTTATTTAAGCTCTTGTGCCACTTAACCTGTTATGATTAACTGGAGCCACAAAGGACTAGGTGCGTTGTAGCATATATTTAAATAAAAATAATTATAAGATAAATAAGCACTAGGGATAAAGTGTACATGATTAACATAATTAACAGTGCTATTGTCATATATAAAAGTTGCTAAGAGAGTAAATCCTGAGTTCTTGTCACAAGAAAAAATTTTTTTTATTTCTTTAATTTTGTGTCTATATGAGATGATGGATGTTCACTAAACTTTACTGTGATACTTGTTTCATGATGTATGAGAATCAAACCACTATGCTATACAACTTGAACTTAGCACAGTGCTATATGTCAATTATATCTCAGTAAAACTGGAAGAAAAAAAAAGAGAAAGAAACAAGCAAGGCCAGAGACATATTGCAGCAACCAGGCAGGGTACCGATAGGTGCTCAGAATGAAAGCTGTGCAAACCTGGACACTGGCTGAACGGTGGTGGGGGAAGCCTGGTGAGGGGAACAAGAAGTGAGGAGGACTGTGAGATTTGGGCCCGGGTGATGGGAAGAATGGTTCTGTGACCAGAAAAAGGGAAGTTGGGGCTATGAGCTGGGCTGGGGGAGGGAAGATGAAGATGATCAGTTGAAAGTGCTGAATTTGAGATGCTTAGGGATGTGGTGCGCACATCAAGGAGTTAGGTGGAAATGTGTAGTTCAAAGGAGAGGGTAGGATACACATGAACAAATAAACAAAAGCATAGTGAGTCAGCTGCTTTGTGGCGTGTTGGCTGGAGTTCTCAGCAGTAGATGAACTTTGTGGGAAGGAGAGTAGAACAGAGATTCCTTGCTTAGGGTCTGTGGGGAGGCTTGTGGGCTGTGAACTCCTTTACATTTTAAGCAGAATATTGTATATTTGCAAAAGCCCGCAATTTTATTGGCTTATTTATCCTAAACAAGGTTAAGAACCACTACTACATATAGAAAGAGGTTGGACTGATATGGTGCTTATGGAATTTATATATAGTTGGTTCTGCCTAAAATAACCCAAACCACCTCTGCGTTCTTGACTATCATCCCTCAGACTACAGTGGTTGTTGTCTTTACCACGGCAGACTCTTAGATCAGGATTATTTTAAAATGTTTCTTCTTGCCAAGACAATTCAGTAGGGAAATAATAGTCTTAAAAAAAAAAAAAAGGTCCTGAGATAACTAGATATCCACATGTGAAAGAATTAATCTGGATCCCCTCACACCATACAAAAAAGTTAACTCAAAATTGATCAAAGACCTAAATATAAAAGCTAGAGTATCAAACTCTTAAAAGAAAAACACCTTCTAAGGTGTAAATCTTGAAATCTTGGATTAGAATGATTCTTAGATAGGTACCTCAAGCACAAGAAACCAAAGAATAAGTTGGGCTTTTGTAAAATTCAACCTTTGTGCTTCAAAGACACTGTCAAGGAAGTGAAAAGACAACCCACAGAATGGTAGATATTTGCAAGTCATATTGCAAAGATCTGATAAGGATCTTACACATCCAGAACATATAAAGAATTCTTACAACTCAACAATAAAAAGAAAAATAACCCACTTAACAATAGCAAAGGACTTGAATAAATACTTCTCCAAATAAAACAATTAGCCAATAAGCACATGAAAAAATACTCAATATCGTTAGTTATCAGGGAAATGTAAATCAAAAGCACATGAAATACTACTCCATATCCACTGGTTTGGGTGATAATAATAATCAACAACAACAGATAACATGTTAAGGATGCAGAGAACTTGGAATCTTCATACACTGCAGGTGATTGTAGAAAAGGTACAGCCACTTTGGAAAAACAGTTTGGCAGTCCCTTACAAAGTTAAACAGAGCTACCATATTACCCAAGATATATCCACTCCTAGATATAAACCCAAGATAATTGAAAACATATGTTCACAAGCTTGTACACAAATATTCACAGCAGCATTATTCATAATAGCTCCGAAGTGTAAACAACCTAAATGTTCATCAGTTGATGAATGAATAGATAAAACATAATGTGGTCATACAATGGAATATATACTATTTATCCATAAAGAGGAATGAAGTACTGATCTATGCTACGATATGCATGAACTTTGAAAATAATATAAGTGAAAGAAACTGTACATATTGTATGATTTCATTTAAATGAAATATCTAGGATAGACAAATCTGTTGAGACAAAAGGTGGATTAGTGATTGACAGAAGCTGGGGGAGGAGAAGAATAGGGAGTGATGACCAATGGGTACCAGGTTTCTTTTTGGGGTGATGGAAATGTTCTGGAATTGGTGATGGTGGCTGGGAATACAATAAAAATCATCAGTTGATTTTGTGGTATGTGGAATTGTATCTCAGTAAAAAGTATTCTTAAGTTTTTTCTGATTCTGATGGTCTGATTGCTTTTTAAATGGGATGGAAAATAGCATTCATTATCCAAAAAGAAGGAATTACATGACCAAAGTCATAGGGATAGGAAAGTAAAGAGAGATTTTAAGGACTAGTGTATTTAGATGGAACATTGGTGTGTATACGGAGGAGTCATGAATTCAAGCAATTCATCAAGAGCCCTTCCTGGCTTTTTCTTTTTTTGGGTCAGGCAGATAGAAAAGTCATTTGGGTTACCATGAAACCCAAATGGTAAGTTGGGGCCAGAGTAATCAAGTCAGCCAGTCTCCGAATGAGTCATAAATACTCATGAGGACTTACTTGGTGCCAGCCACTACTTTGAGTGCTTGAACAAAAAGATCTGCTCCCTATACACAGAGGGCTCAGCCGTCTTGCTCTGGTGATATTAAACAAATATTTAATTCAAATTCAATTAAGCAATTATAAAGGTGTGAAGGGCTGGAAGTTCAGAGTATTATGGAAATGTGATGGTGGGAATCCAGGGAAGTTATCCCAAGAAAGGGGAAGTTTAAGCTGAAAAGGATATGACTTCCAGGCTAGCAGATTTTGACTAAACAAGTTGGAAACTGGTAGCCATGTAAAGGGGCTGTGCCCCCTGGGGAGACAGGCGATTGAGGGAGATGCAGCCAGCGGTGACAAATTCACCATGTGAGGCTCTTTGGGGTGACAGTCTGGCCTGAAACACCCTGTACTGCCAGCAAAGCAGGGGCAGGAAGAACATTTTTTCAACAGTGACAGTCTGTGATCTGTGTTTAGAGGAGCGTCCTTCCAGATGTTGCTGGAGAAAGGGCACTGGTGACTGTTCATGGACGCGTGATGGCCTCACACAGCAGATCCTTCTTCCTCCCTGCTGAGAGCAGTTCATCAAGAGCCCTTCCTGGCTTTTTCTTTTTTTCCTCTGAGAATCCTGCACTCCGTCCTTCACTCCCTCTCTCCTGACCGAACCACAGCAGCATGAGACTGCATGCATGACTAGTATGTAAGCTCTGTGAAGACCTTCTTTCCTCTCTTTGTTGTTTTTCTGGCACTGTTGTGTCTGATTTTTTGCTACCCCATAGATTGCAGCCTGCCAGGCTCTTCTGTCCATGGGATTCTCCAGGCAAAAATACTGGAGTGAGTTGCCATTTCCTTCTCCAGGGAATCTTCTCAACCCAGAGATCGAACTGGCATCTCATACATCGGCAGACAGCTTCTTTACCACTGAGCCACCAGAGACGATGCTTTCCCCTCTTACTCCCCTGGTATTCCTAGTTCCTAGTACAGAGTCAGGCAGATATAATTTTCAATAAATATTTGTTAGATTGAACTAAAATAAACTGAATTGGATCAGATTAAATGCATTTAAGCTAAATTTACAATTGGAGATACTAAAAATTTTTTATTTTGATCAAAAGGGAATTTGGTGACTTATTTTGTTTTAAAAGATTGATAAATACCTGTGCTCAGATCTCCATAGGTTCTCGACACCTTTCTCCTGTAAAGGAATTGATTTTCTGTTCGCCTCAATCTTTTTACTTACAAGGGTCAGCTCAAGACAGATATCAAAAATTCCTGTGGCTACTCAGTGGTTGTGCGTGTGCTAAGTCACTCAGTCGTGTTCAGGGTCACTTCTTTATCTTGAATTTGCTCCAATAGGAGTTGTGAAAATGAGCTGCTAGACCATGATGCATATATCCTTTAAGTGTGTGTGTGTGTGTGTGTGTGTGTATGTACCATGGCAGGGAAAGGTGGAGAGCAGGGTTTTGAGAATAACACTGTGAAACAAATTTTCTCTCTCTCTTTGTATCTATAAATTATTAATATCTATACATATTCATCTCTCAGTCTGTGTGGGAGGTGCTGGGGGACACGGATGTAGATGACATGTGGACCGGACTCAGGGACTCCCTATCAATTGAGAGACATAGGTCAAACACAACTATAATGTGTATCAAGGACTATTGGAAATCGAGGGTGAGAGAGGCTAGTTCCAACAGATAGGGAGGAAAAAAAAAATAATTTCATTGAGTGAGAATTCCCATGCTAACTTTAGACTGTAAGCCTCTTAAAGACAGAGGTTGACTGTTTTTTTTCCCATTCACACTCCTGGGAGGCCCCTGAGCCCTTGATGGATTCAGCTGACTCACTGATAAGTTCTACAGACTTTTGCTTCCTGGTTCCAGACCTGCGTGCTGGTCACTGACACCCTTTCTTTCATATTGAATAACTCTGTTTCTAGGGCTGGTGCTTGTTAGGAGGTCTGGAGCAATTCTTGTGTTTATTGAAAAAGAAAAAAGATACTACTGAGAGGAAATTTGGTAATAATATAGCAAACATCCTGCCTGACCTTTACATTCTGCTCCTCTTCCCCCTCCAGCCCCATATTTTCTTACACACCATCACTGGAAGTCCTAAAGTCCTAGAACCATTACTTCCTAGGCAAATCTGTTTCTTGGACAGTTGGAGCTTGGCCTGTGGCCTGGCTACTGGCATTTCTCTTTTTCGAGGATTGTGTATCTGGAAAGGGAATGACCTAGCCAGTTGGGGTGGGCTTTGAAAAGTGGGAGCTTGGGAATGAATCATCGAAAGGCCCCCCCTAGTGAGTAGAAGCTTCCTCTTTCAGCCAGTAGGATGCAAAGATGTGAAGTCACCAGGACCACTCTGTTGTACTGGTTGCTATTGGTTCCTTTTGTTAAAAAAAAAAAAAAAAAAAGCAAAGTGGCAGTTTGCTAAAGAAGCTTTTGTTTGGTGGGAAAAGTGCTTCTACCTTAGACAGGAAAAGCGTCAGCAATGGCAGGAGGAGGCGCTGGGCAGTCTTCTCATGGAGCCATCTGGTGGTTCTTCGCTGTAAGTGCCGCTCCTGGAGCTGCTTCCCTGTGGGCTGAGCTCCTTGCTCAGTGTTTCTCTCCTTGGAGAAAGAGCCTGCCCAGCTCAGAGAAGAGACTCCTCTCCATGACAGTATCCCCGATGGCTGCCCACTTTGATTTTCTTCACTGTGGCTCTCAAGGGCCCACAGGACCTGTCCTGGGGCTTCCACCCTTCTCCCCCTATCTCCAGACAGACTCCTCAAGCTCCAGGTCCCCCCAGCCCTTCTGCTCTCCCTGGGGCTCTTTGCATTCCCTTCTCTCTGCTCAGGTTGCCTTTCTCTAGCATCTTCTCAAGTTGGGCTCCTTCTCTGTGCTCATATATTAGCTCTGAGCTTTCCTCAGAAAGGTCTAGTTTGACTCCTCTCTCTAAAGCAGTCCTTGCACCAAGTCATTCTCCATCAAAGATTCTTTGCCTTTTTTACTCATAGGCTATTTAGTATTATCTAAAATGATCTCCTTCATTCATGTGCTTTCCCTTTGTTTATTGTCTAACTTAAGTCTGTTCGAGCAGACCCTTGTCTGTTTCATCTGTTTTGAGAAAAATGCCTGACTTGTGTTGGGTGTTCAGTAAATACATGTTGAAGAAAAAAAAAAAAAAAAAGAATGAAAATGAAGTTGCAAAACATGGAAAAGTAGAAGCCAGACAGCCTAGAGGGGTCATCTGAGGTTATGCTGGACCCCTACTCATTCACTGCTTCTTTCCAAATCACAGTCTATTTTTCTATGGGATTATACTTTGGCTGCCAGGAATTTGGTTCTTTCTCACCATCCAACCCTCTCCTTATCTTGTTGCAGTTTTTCCTAATATATATTCACAAACTCTAATAGCTTTAACAGGGGTTGTATTTATAAGGGAAAGTTGTCTTCCATCTTTGAGGTGCCATGGCTTTTAGATGTTTCCAAATATTCAATGTAAAAGCATTGAACCATCAAGAGAAACTCATACCTCATCTGATCAAACCCTGCTGGTCAGTTTCTCTCACTGTCAAGAACACTTGGCATGCACATCCATGCTCCCTTGGCGGGCAGCAGCTGCCTCTTCTCCTGATGATGACTTTTCATTTCCCAGCCAGCAGCCAAGACTCGACTTGCTCAGCTTCCTCAAGGACGAGCCCTCAGATTCTGGTGGGGAGGGTGTCAGGTCACTGTTAGCCTGGCTTCCTGTGTCTGAGCCCAGACCTGATCAAATGTTCCTGCTCAGTCTTTTAGTTTTTCTCTATTTTTCAAGTTCCTGCTCAATCTTTTCATTTTCCTCCAACCTTGGGTACCTTTGCATCCATAGGACAGCTGAGAACCCCAGGGGCCTGTTTGCCCTTTGACTGGTAGAGTAACTAGCAGTTTTCATGAGCTTTTCTCAGACTGGAACTTAATAAAAAGAAAATGTCTTTCTACATTTTATCCTGGCAATGGAAGAGCTGAGCGGGTAGCAGAGGACTTGTTGGGGCTGGAGTTGTTTTCTGAGCAGGTTGTGCTAGGGAGGCATCCCAGGAGGGAGAAGGAAATTAGAGTCAGAAAATGTGTGTGCTCAGGGGTCCTTGGAGAACCTGCAGAGAAGCGGTCCCTCACTTTGTAGCTGCAGACTCCTGAGCCCAGAGCAGTGAGATGACTTACTGGCTCAAGGTCACACATCAAGGCTGTACAATTTATGGTACTCAGTTCAGTTTGGTTAGGGAAGTAGGAATCCCCTTGGACTGCCCTGGCTTCAGGAACTGGCGCACACAAAGCGTGTCAGGGCTGCTCTAGAGAACCCACACAGTTCTTTGAATCAAGGAGAAATGAGTCAATTGCTAGTTCTTCTTAACTCTTGAACTTTAAAAATCTAAGTTGTGGTTCAGTATTTGAGGTGGAATGTGCATTTGCTGAGGGGGTGGAAGGTGACGGAGAATTCAGAAGATTCAGGTGATTAGGTTCTTTGAACTGTCTGTGGGAGAGCATGACAGGGAGGTGGGCTTCTCCCCAGTGGTGGTAGAATAAAGCAGTGTCAGTGGGTCAATTGGATGTCAGCTCTTTCCCTCCTGGACTGCGGTGCAAAGAGTATCCAGTCGAGGTTTTCTTTGGCAGAATGACTGCTGTGTAAACTGGAATCAGAGAAAAAAGAATTGCTGCATAGGATTGTCTGTGACAGAAAATCTGTTGTGACCAATTTAATTCCACTCAATGAGTCATTCTCAAGTATATACCCAGTAGAAAGCCAGATGTATTGTGGGGAATAGGAAGAAAGGCTTGTCAGTACTATGACATCCGAGACTGGTCTGTCTTATTAAGAAATCAAGACCCACCTATATACGGAGCAGACAGAAAATGAGACTGAAAAGCCTGAATGGCAAAAGTCATAGGATAAACACTGTATGTTCTGGAAAATGATGAGGAAAAGGAGTCAGGAGAATGGGTCGTGACGAGGTGAATGTGTGGGGGCGGGCAAGCCACTTATTTAGGGGGGGGGTGGCTGGGTCTTCTCTGGGATGTGTTCCCCAGGGTGAGGCATTGCTCATGGTAGATGCTCAATAAAAACCTTCTCAGTGATGGGGGGAGGGCAGGGTGGACAAGTGCAGAGCCTGTGGAAATGAGGAGAGGTCTGCGAGGACCAGACCAACCTATCCTAGCAGAGAGAGCAGGAAGGCTGGAATGTTCCAGATACACAGTTTGGACTTGCTCTGAGGCCCAAGGGAAGCACAGGAGAGGCAGGGTGAGTTGCCTTTGAAAGCACACTCGCCGAAGTTTTGGAAGATATGGTGCTGGAGTGGGCTCTGCCCTTTCATTCTGTTTGTCTTAGCTGTTCAACATGCCCAACACAAGGTTTTCCCATGATTCTCTTTCAGGTCTAAATTCTAGAGAATGCATCTCAGGGTTCTGTGCAGGGTGGATACTTGGAAGCAGAGAGGCCTTTTGGCTTCAGGAATTCAGGGGCAGGAGACATGATGAAGGTGGTGGTGATGGGAGCAGCAAGGGAGGGGAGAATTGGGGAGATTTGGAAGTGACTCAGGATGCTTTTAGGTAACTTCAGTAGAGGGGGATCAGCACAGTTGGTTTTAGGGGAAGAGA